GGGGGGGAAAGACACCCCCCCACTACTAATGGTTACAAGGAAATGAAGGAACTTCAGTAATGAACACATAACAATTGCTGGGATGATGCAGTAATTATTTTCGTATTTACACCATTAGCGATGGTAATTTAACGTTAATGCCTGGGTGTTTTATCCCTCCTCATTTGCAGACAAAAGCACATCTGAGGCATCATCCGGGAGTAATTTGATCCTATAAAGTCATGAATAGGAAACACTAAACTATGCTCACAACTCCTGACAACATAAAAAAGCGTGGGGCAAAATAACCTCATTTGCTGTTTATGACCCAGCTTTTATAATTCTGTTTACCATCGTTTGCATAAATGAATAGCGAAATGGTATACTGCCTCCCTTTTTTGGTGGGGGAAAAAGGCTCAATGCTCCTAGATTTGTTCAAAACCTAATAGGTATTAGTGAGCTTGGCTATAAAATGTGAGGCAACGTAGGAGTGAATAATCTTGAACATACACTTTTAGAATGAAATTTCTGCGCAAATAAAGCCACAATGCAAAATTAGGTTTCCTTCAGCCATTTATTTTATCTTTCTTGGAGTTTGAGCAGTTTCTTATTTAAATACAATTAGTAAATGGCCAGGAAAACATACTAGAATGGGTTTAAGAATAATATTTTCCTACTAATTTTGCTATTACCCTAGATTGCCATTTACTTAGTTTTCTCCCTTTTGGATATTGCTCATGCTTTTATCACAGTAAATTCCCTGAATTCTCTTTCAATGGGATTGATCACTCATGTGAAGAACAACTATTCACATAAGGATCTCTAGGATTAAGCCCACTAGTTGTAACTGTATATGTAGTAAGTGATCTGTCTATCTGTCTGTCTGTCTGTCTGTTACTTAGCCTCATTTATATATACATATAAATATACATACATACATATACACTTACATATATCTATATCACTTAACCTCTTTTATATATACATATATATGTGTGTATGTGTGTGTATATATATATATATATGTATATATATATATATAGTTATGTATATTTATATGTATATATGAGAGGCTAAGTGATATTCTTATTTTGATATTCTGTATGAGGATATAAGCATTTACATTATTAAATAGCTCAAATTGTCATTTTCTTGCAGCATGGGGACAGAAATTAAAAAAAAAATGTATATCAAATATGGTCAAAACTCCAGTTCACTTCAGTGGAATTGGGAATTCATCTATGCTTTGCCATGGTTGAAGTGCCACATGGTAGTGTGTATCTGATACAGATTGTGTTAAACTGAGTGTATTTAATGTGTGACGATTTAGTTTTGCCCAGTTTAGAACGTGTGAATGAATGTCTCTGATTCTGAAACGAAGATATTTTTAATCAAGATTGGACAGTCCTGCTTAAGACCAGCTCAGAAGTAAACTTGATAAGCTGAAAGGAGTATGTTGGTAGGGAGTGTATCATGATAGAATAAAAACAATACTCCAAAATGAGTACAAGTTAGTAAGGTTACTGGAGTCTTAATCACACGAGGCTTTAACTGGTTGTAATTTATTCAAATACGTTTGCCAATGGGACTGCTTGTGTGGGTAAAGACTACTGTGTATGGGTTTGGCTATGTGGCATAGTTTTGCTACTCTAAATTATGCTGTAAATTTAATCTGATTTAGTTTTACTGGCATAACCCACTGTGTGAATGCTCTTATTCACTCTAAAAGCATCTTTTTGGTTTATATTATTTCACTTTGAAAGGAATACATTGAAAAAGTTGTCCTTATACTGAAATAAGAGTCTGCACATGGGGATTTACACTAATTCAACTACATGGGTTTAACTACAGTGGCTTTCACTGATAACTTGATAAGCGGATAACGGATATATTTTGCCTGCTTAATGATATTAGTATCACTTGAGTAAACATGCAGTGCTGACTCTGGGGTTTATGTTAACAAGAGTCCAGCTAACAGTATATAAACTGTTGCAAATCTGAGTACAAGCCTAATCAAGTAAGGCTAGTGCCTTTTGGCATACGAACATCCAATCCTGATGCTTTTATAACAGTATTTACTGGTACCATTCATTAGGCATGACAGTCATGTTTGCAGCAGGTTACTGTTACCCAGATTCTTGTTTGAGTTTACTTTACACCACTGTGACAGTGTAAAGTGGCCAGTTACACTTCCATCCATTTCTAGGCCTATTTAGAATGTTAGTGGTATAAAGCTGCATTAATGTAAATGAGAACCAGGTTCTATATATTAAGATAAACCAGAGAAAATACCATGATTCTAGTTAGCACTGTATTACCCCTGGGTTCTGTTGGTATAATATTGACCAAGTCTAGCTAGGAGGAATTCAGTGCTATGACACAGCCTTACAGCAGTGTTCCTAGTGTGGGCACAGTTAAGCTGGCAAAACTGTTTTGTATCTGAGTAATAGACCCCCTCAGACAGTTCCAGATGAAATAAATCAATAAAAGGTGGTATAACTATAGTAAGGAGCTTCAGATGGCACAGTTCTGTAATTCAGGGCTCACACCTTCACATCTCTGAGCAACATGGCTACTTTGATAGAAATCCATAATGGAATCTCTGTCGATTTCAGTGCATTTACTCAGGTGTAAAACTGGAGTAGTACAGAAGTGAATTAGGCCCAGAGTAATATTTAGATTGTTTACAGCACATACTGGTATTGCCTAGGTTAAAAGTGTTTGATTTTCCATTGTGTTGTTCCCTGGTTGACACTTAAATAATCCTCCCCCTCAAAGATGAAATGTTGCTGTTCACAAATAGGGTTTAGGAGCATTAGAAATGTGGTATCGAAGCAGACACTAGTTCATTTAGTTTGGTGTCTTAGCTCTAACAGAGCAGGGAACAGGAAACCCTATAGTGGACTATTATGGAAGATCTAGATCATAAGAAAAGTTTGTTTTAGTCAAGTTGCTGGCTAGTTTATGTCT